CAGTGTTTACTGTCTCGCCAGCGAGACAATATTGAAATGGTCAACAACCACCTTGATAACTACCGTACACGTGTCCATTAACTGCCAAGGATGTGGAAAACATCGTGGGCGAGAATCACGTGGATAACTATCAAAATAACGGAGTTTGAAACGTGGGAAGGCAGTTACTGCAGAAACCACTGTGCAGTTGGGTTTTCCGAGACAACGTTTACTATCTCAGAACCTGAGACAGTAAACTCTGTCTCGGCCGCCGAGACAGCAAACACTGTCTCAGCAGCCGAGACAGCAAATGCTGTCTCGCGAGCGTAACTGTTCATGGAGGCTATAAATACCCCTTGAGATTGATTTTTGAGGGGGCTGATCATTTTTGAGCACTTTGGAGCAGAGAGAGGAGAGTTCCTGAGCTTCTGGCAATCCCTTGAGATTCGAGCTTTGACTTGATCTCAAGAAGAACGACTATCTTACTTTGATAAGATATCGTTTCAAATTCTCACTTCGATAAACAAAGGAAGAATCATTAAACCCCTCACGATTCAATCAGAATCTGTGATTTAGTGGTCCACGAGTCAAAGCGCTCCCGGCACAGGCAAAGATCCCACACAAGCAGTGATCCAAACAACGATCATGCGTTTGTTTCTAAAAAGTTATAATTTTCATTTTGTTGTGTAAAAGAAGTCTTATAAAAAGGTTATTTCTTTTGAATTTATTGTAATCGATCGAAGATATAATGAATTCCACAACGAAGTCAACTTTTGACGAAAACAGTAGTCCATGATGCTCGTCGTTCTATATACGGCTATCCCGAACTTCACCTTAGTCTTCTTGCCAAGAACGCGATGCTCACAGAATTCTATCTTTCCACTCTTGGCTCCCTTCAATAGCCCCTGCTTGCACAAAGTTTGTAGTGACTTTTCACATGTGTGCCTCAATCTGTAGTGCCAAAGTCTGCTCGCGTCCGCCTCTAAAACAGCTGAAGATACCTAGCCAATCTTGGTGCTTCCCTTTAGATAATAAAGATTCATACTGTGGACTCCCTTCATCACTATCAAATATCCCTTAGTAACTTTTGCTACAACATCCTCAAAAGTCACCTTGAATCTATTTGCCTCCAAAGCTCCAACAGAAATAAGATTCTTCTTCAACTAAGGAACAAATCTCACTTTATTCAGCTCTCAAACAACTCCATCGTGCATCCGAATCTTGACAGTACTTATCCCACAAATACCACATGATTGATCATTTCCTATGACTACCATGCCCCCATCGAGCTTCTCGAAAGATACAAACTAATCTTGTCGGGGAGTCACATGATAAATAGCACCAGAATCAAGCATACAATCTGATGCATTCGTATGGTTAACCTCTAGAGTAATCAATATAGAAAATCATGAATTGTCGGAATCGTTACCACTCTTAGTAACATTTACTTCATTGACCTTCGGCCCCTTCTTCTTGCTATTCTCCTTCTCTCTGAGCTTCGGGCAATCTCTCTTCCAATGTCTTTGTTCTTTGCAGAAAGCACACTAGTTCTTCGCTAATTGGTAGTGACTGACTTTGACCTGCTTTGATTATCACCTCTCGAATAGGGACTCCTTCCTCTCGTCGATAAGGCCTCTCCTAAAGTGCTAGCCCTTGAAGTCTCTTTGTCCTTCCTCCTCATATCGTAATTCATCAACGTATTAGTCACTTCATTATAGGTGATGAAAGATCTACTGCTCAATAAAATGAGCACAAAGATATCATACTCCTTATCGGGTAAGGAGTCTAACAAAATAATCACATTGTACTCATCCGATATATTCTCATCCACGTTCGTCAAGTCCGACAATAACTTTGTATAGTTGTTCACATGAGCCGCAAATGAGGTACCCATGGACATCTGGAATCTGAATAATATTCACAACAAGTGTAAACGGTTCTCAACACTCTTTGTAAGATATTTGTTGTTGAGAATCTCTCACATCTTCATCGTAGATATCATGCTAATTCACATCATATTTCAGCTCATGTTTCAAACAAGGCCTGATCACCCTACAAGCGTTTCGATTCATCTTATCACATATCGCCTCATCATATTTCGGTGGCCTCTCATGGACCATAATGACCTCTTCTAAATTTTGAGCATTCAGAGTGTCTTGTACGTTGCTCATCCACAAACCAAAATTGATTTTGCCGTCATACTTCACAACACTAATCTTTGTATTCTGAAGTGCAACTTGAACTGTACTCGTCATCACCTTGCTGCTTTCACCAACTTCTTCTCTCATTGCAAACTAACTCCAATTTAAAGAAAGACTCAAACTTTGAAAGAATTGAGAAATTACCCAACTGAACCCTTAGATAGGATTCCAACATAATCTCCTAACCACATGGGGAAAGCGAGATCTCCAACGGCAACTCCACAATGTTATCTCTACTTAAGCCTAGATTTTCAAACCTAAGCTTCTAACAGCGAATCTTCCTCCACCCAATGCAAAATCCTAGATCTGAAATCAGAGTTCTGATACCAATTGTTACACAATGTGCGGAAGCGTGCTCGCAAACCAAACGAGTCGACGAGCGATGAGAGAAGAACCAAACACGAATGCAATTCCCAAATAAAGGCCAAAATCCAACACAAACACAGAGATTTACATGGTTTGGTAATTGCCTACATCCACGGGAAGAGGATGGAGAGATTTCACTTGATGGAAGAGAAATACAACGGGTTATAACTCACACAAACTCTCAAATATAACCCTAATTAAAGATCTCAACTTCCACACAATATCTCCCTCTCAAAGTGCTCAAAAGGCTCAACAATCTCTCCTCTCACAACCCTAGAAATCGTGTTTATATTTATATCAAACACCAAACCAAAACCGAACAAGAAACCAAAACAGCCCAAGAAACCCGACACCGGTCGACTGATGTGAAATAACAAGCACAAAAAAACTGCTCACGATTCCATCAGTAGACTGATAGAATTATCAGTCGACTGAACGAGCTCATCAGTCGATTGTACAGAAACTTTTTCACAATTCCAGGGCTATTCTTTAGTCAACTAATCTTGGCATCACTCGACTGATGACACTATTCACCGAAAACCTGGTTTTTCAAACAATTTTGATATTAACCCCTCAAATTTTCATATTTTGATATTAGTCTTCCAATTTGCATAATATGTTGATATTAGTCCCTCTGTTAGTTTTATTGTTCAAAACTCTCAACTGTGGTCATATTTAGACTAAATATAGATCATTAATTACCAAAATGTGTTGAATCTGGGATGCAAGTTTAGAGAGGGGGTGAAGAGAGATGCTATCATTGTTCGCTAAAATTACAAAATATGTAGTGGAAAAGCTCAAATAGAAAAGATCAACGATAATCAAACACAAATAGCAGCCAACTAAAAATACACAAGATTTTATAGTGGATCAAATAACAATCCTACGTCCACTCTTCTTTCTCACAAAGAGGCTTCTGCACTATGCGAAGACTTCTCGTGAATCACAAACCCGATTCAGTAGGTTTACAAGACCACACACTAGAATCTATCCGGAACTAGTTGTCTAACCTAACTCTACACAATGAGTAACATCTAGTCCTAGCTAGTACCAACCCTCAATTAATCCGGCTTGAGTACTTCGTAAGATAAGTTCAAAGCAAAATCAAACTAATCAATTAAACCTTAGAAAATCAAGAAAGATCTTACAGTTCTTTTGTTAAACAAACTGTTATTCGATGAATATAAATGTAGCTTGCTAAAAAATGGTGTAGAGAATCATGGCAACTCACCTCACTAAAATAATCCAAAGATGTTGTATGTGATAAGTAAGAGTTTGTCGAGGCTCTAGGGATTAAATCCTCCAATAAAATATCTCATAAATCAAAACCATAGAAATTTCCTCCTCCTCTCTCTCTCTCTCTCTCTCTCTCTCTCTCTCTCTCTCTCTCTCTCTCTCTCTTTTTTTTTTTTCTCCTTTTGTTTTTCCTCTCCCCCCCCCCCCTCTCTCTCTCTCTCTCTCTCTCTCTCTCTCTCTCTCTCTCTCTCTCTCTCTCTCTTTTTGTAATTATTATAAACTCGTGAATGGGTCATGAAAAAGATATCTTAAAGTTGGTAGAGATTGGAGAGATATAAAATAATAAATGACTGATTCATGAATGGGTCATTGATGATGAACATTTACCATTGATGAAAATTTACCATTAATGAGCTTAACCTACCATCGATGGTAAGGAGGCTGAAATCAGCATTTGAGCTGATTTTTGTGTTGTTTCACCTCGTACATTTTTTTTACGTGTATTATATTATCTTACACAAATATTAGTATCTAATAAAAGTTTATTATTACTCAAATAAGAGCTACTGTACGGACTTCATCCTAACAAAATGCTCACATTTAATTTTTCCTACCTAAGAAAAACTTTCCTCTCTTCCAGCTTCTCTCTCTTCTGCAGAAAAGTTGTTGAGGAAGTTGGTTTCACTGTTAATGGATTATTAGAGAATAAGAGAGGTGAAATGTATTCAGGTTTAGAACTCTTATCGGGTTTAAGTTTAAAGGATTTGTAGATTTAGGTATTAGGACTGAGGGCTATAACTATCAATTATAGAAAAAATTAAACATTGCAGAATAAGCCCTAGTATTTATAATCTTAACTAACCAGAGGGTATAATATCGACATATTAATATAAATTTGGAGAATAATCAAAAGATGAAAATCTGGGGGGACTAATATCAAAATCCTGATGCTTAAGGGATTGCTATCTAGAAAAACTCTTTTCCTTGTCAAGTTGATATGCGTACTCATCATTCTTTCATTGCTCATTCTCACTGAGCGCAAGTACAAAATAACGCGTACAGCAATAAGGGTGTGATACTATCAATCCTCGCGTCATTTCTACCAAAAAAAAAGAGAATTTCTCGACCGGGCACCGCACCAACGGCTAGTTCAGACCCCTCATTAACGGGTCTTAAATTTGAAGGACCAAAATGTCTACATTACCCTCATTCTTTTCCCAATCAAAAGCCATTGGTGACAGCCATTGTTCTCATTAGAGTCTCCGTTACACTCTCTTCTTGTTTCCAATCTCTCTCTGCTCTATTCTTCTAAATTTCCATGGAGATTCTTCCATCAGATCCAAAGGGAGAAGAACTGGCCGTGATTGAGGAGGATGACCTGTTCTATGAAGAGATTGAGGCGCCAAAGTTTGTAGACTTCACAGTCCCTGATCGTTCAAAGCCTGACGATAAATCCTGGTTCTGTCTTCGAATTGGTAAGCGATTTCATCATCAGATGAAAAACCCTACCTGGGTTTAGTTTAAGATGTTAATTGCGAGAACTTGCTCCTTGAAAGCTCCATTTTTAATGTTAATTTACTATCGAATTTATATTGAATCCAGTTGCCTGGATTTGAATTTTTCTCCCAATTGCTTTTCAGGATGTGATCAACAGCATGAGGAAGTTGATCCCGATGCTCTTTATCGAAGTTTCTTAATGCGGGTCTGTGACCATTTCACTGTTTTTTTTCCTGTATTTAATTTAATAAATTAATCTCACTGCATGCCAAACTAACTATGAAAAACTTTCAGGTCATGGCAGCAAGAAGCCCAAACATCAAGCTTCAAAAATCCTTAAACCCACAAGCTCCAAGGTACCATAAAATCTTTCATCAATTCTAATACATTTTTCTCAGATAAATTTTTAGACGGTCACCGGCAATGAATAAATACAAACTAATCAAAATGAAACTCAATTTCAGTTCAATTAAGAAATGCCCGCGATCTGCACCCGCAAAATCAGTCAAAGACAGAATCTCAAAAATGAGCAGAATCACTTCAATCCCTGATAAAATGGCAAATGATAAGCTAAGAAACCATCCAGTATCTAGTTTGAGATCAACCCCAAATAATACAAAGTCAAAATCGCAACCTTCGACTAGTGATAAGAAAGCATTAACGACTCCAAGGGCCAAAAAATGGCCGAGCATCCATGAGCCTTTCCGTAGTGTTAAGCCCCAAAAAGCTCCTGTTGAAGTCTCAAAGATCAAAAGTGCTGCAAAGGCACTATTTTTAGGAACTCCAAAGAAATATGACGAGGCTAGTAAATCGAGCAATTGTACCGCCTGTGGTCTAAATATCTTGGAAGTAAGTTGTAAGAAAGATGAAGGGACTTCTTCTATGAGTTTGAAGAAACCAAATGAGCCAAGAGAAGCAGATATCAATAGTATTTCAAGTGATCATAGTGCAGTAAAGCCAAACACAGAAGAAAATTTTCCAACTACATCGGTCTTAATTGTAAAGGAGGATCACTCTGAGGAGGGTCCTAAAGAAAATCTTGTTGTGGTGGAAGCTTTGAATGAAATACACACTCAAGCTGGAGTCAAGGAGAATGTTGCTGAATCTGATGATGATAAAGAAAATAATTCTAACACAAGGTATGTCTTTTTCTTCTGGTCTTTTATATTGGTATAATAAATGTTTAAATTATCACATTCCATATATTTGCTTTTTAGCAGAAATGTGAAGTCAAGCACCACAAATTCTGAGAATGGAGTGCAATTAGAGACTAATGAGAATATCCCACAAAAGGTACAAATAACTGAATACATGTCTTTGATTTCTACATAATTTCTTATTCCATTCTCTCGTTCTATGTACTCTTTTTATTTTTTTCAGGAAATAAGAGCTCCAAGCAAAAAAGGCCAAGAGCATGGCTCTCAAGCAGGAAAGGTCAAGAGAACTACAATTCTGAAGCCCTTCAGGCTGAGAACCGATGTTAGTTTTTTTACCTAACATAATTTCTTATTCTATTAACTCAGTTATTAGAATTAGATGTATTTATTCAGCACCATATATGATTGTTCTTTCTCCATTAGGAAAGAGGAATTCTTAAGGAAGCAAACTTGGAGAAAAAAATACAGCTCGAGGCTCTTAAAGAAACCACTATGGGCATCTTTAGGCATGGAGATGGGAAGCAGGTGAGTTTTTTTTCTTTTTTCTTTTTTTTAATCGAGTCATTGATAACTATAAATCTGAATTCCTTTCTCACTGTTAGCAGAATGGAAAGCCAACCCAAGAAAAGAAACAAAAAATTAGTCCAGATAAAGGACAGAAAGCTGAAACTGTAAGTTCATAAATACACCATCAGTTACTCTATTATGATTGTCTGCTTGCTAAGATTAGAAAATTTATTTGCTAGAATCAAACAAGAAAACCTCGAGTGAGATTTGTTGAATCCAGATATGCTAAAAGTATCCCCAAGTGCCATAAGGTGAGATTGTTTGCATTGCGCTACTCGAACTAGTGACCTGTACACCGAAATAGCATCTGATAATAGAAAAATTTGTGATAATTGCAGTCAGAAAATAATAAGGAAAATGAAGAATCACAAAAAAAGATTGTGAAGACAACAACATCATCAAGGCAAATTCTAAAGGCTAAAAGGTTATTCTCATAAGATATGAATTAGACCATTTATTTTTTGCATGCATTTTGGTTATATAAAGTTGAATCCTTATCTGACAACATCTTTTGTTCTCTCATGCAAGTGTGACAGCAGCAAGTAAGGTGCAAACTTCTCGGTTAATAGGGAAGGGAGCACTTGCTGCTAAGACTCAAGTTGAAGAGAAGAAAACGGCCAATGCAACATCTTCAAAAGGGAAGAGGCCTTTAGCTATTTCAAAAGTATCAATTTGTCACAGACTCGACGCACCAAAGAGTTCCAGAAGGAGGCCAGAGATGACAAAGCCATGAAAACCGGTGCTCTCTTGTGTTCAATAGTTTTATTGAATTCGTTTGAGCTATTTCTTGTGTGAAATTTGTGTGCTTCTTCACTTTTTGTGTACTCGGGAATAGCGATGTGCTTTTTCATTTTCCTCTTTTGTTGTAATGAGATTGTGTTTTGAGTTCATAGAATCAAAACAGAAGTATTTTATAGAGATATGAAGTTGCCTTTGTTTGTAAAATTGTAATTATCAGTAACTCATGGTTCAAATTTAGCCATTACTACGGCCGTTTCAAACATACGTGGATAAAGAAAAAGCTATGATGATAGACAGAATAAACATCAGTTCAAGGCCAATCAAGTAGAAAATATTTTGTAAAGTTCAGGTTTGAAGACTAACAGTTATATATAGGGATTAAGAGGATTAGAATCCTCTTCATATTAAATGAGTCAGGCCCAATCACATTAGAGAAACAATCCTGAGAATCTCTATTGCAGTTTCCAGACTCAATTCATATGGGCCTTTGTCCTACAGAAGAACACTGAATCTGGCCCAAGCATATGAGACACAACTGCATCAGAGAGGAATGGAAAGAACAGTACAGTCCAAGTTACTACTAGAACTGTTATCTATGTAATTTAGGAGGGGAAAAACAATGAGGAGGTTAAGATACTTATAAGTTTAACAGTAAAAAGTTCCGATGTAACACAGGCAGTAATTGTAAGATATAACGTGAGATTCTTGATGAGAGCTTGATAGCAACGTTGTTAACTGCAAAAAAAAAAAAAAAAAAAAAAAAAAAAAAAAAAAAAAAAAAAAAAAAATCAAGCCAAATATAATTTTGCAGGTGTCAATGTAGTTTATAAAGTTGAGTTATATATTTACTCAAGCCAAGATTTCTGACTAGCACTTGAGCTTGGATTAAGACTCGCTAACAAAAATCCAGTGCCAATTATGCAAGCAATCATTTTAAATTCAATCTTTAAGATTGTTATAAATGAGTTGGCAGAATGTAACATTGTGAGCAGTGTTTTGATACATGGAAGAAATGACACATTACATTAGTTGGATGTTCTCCTAACATAAAAATTTGAGAGCATCAATTTTCAATCTCCATGTAGAGTATGACAATCCGTTTGTCTCATTTTTGAACTATTTCTATGGTATCTTGGCTAGGAGGACATTAAGTATTTTTCTACATCTTAATAATGTTGCAACGAAACCATTCGAAAAAGTATTGTTAAAAAGAATGTCTTTACTTGGGATGATTGTTGCACCAACCAGACTTTAGTAAGTAAACAAAGGCATCATCATATTAGTATCTAATGACTTATATATAATCACTCCAATAATGTACCTATAGAAAGTTCCTTATTGTTTGTTTGAAACCAAGCTGGGGACCAAAACTATAAAAAGACCAAGAATCTAGTAAAGGCATAAGCCTATTAGAATGAAACCCATAGCAAAGAATATGACATCAGCTCTAATATAGAATAACTATCTATCTACATTTTTTTTCCTCCATAAAACTGCAGTTCTAATGTCACATCAGTTCAGTATCACAATATTGGCTGAATGCACTCAGAACTCATCTCATAATGATCTGATTCTTAATTTTATACTGGCTAGTACCACTAATCTGTATGCTACATTTGGCTTTTCCTGTGTTTATGAGCAAGCTTGTTGCTTTTGCATCCATTCCACTGTCTGTTAGTGATAAAGTAAATGTGTTGTTAGCTTAAGTAGTTTGTGGCTATGAGAATAATTCAAATGATGAGAAAACAAACAAATGGTAATGTTAGAATTAATATAAAACTATGATCATTGATCCTCACCATAACTTTAGAGTTTTGGTGTAATGGTTAGAGGAGCTAAATTTAAGATGGTATCAGAGCATGTTAGAATTAATATAAAACTATGATCCTTGATCCTCACCATAACTTCGGAGTTTTAATGTAATGGTTAGAGAAGCTAAATTTAAGAGGTAACAAGCTTTAGCTATTTGTAAAATAAACTACCAAGTACTACTATAATATGGGAATGCATTTTGTATTATTTGTATCCTTAATTACTTAAAATAATATATGTTTACAGGTTTAAAAATGTTTAGTGCTAATGTGACAGATAGAAATGCTGCTAAGATGATTCTGTTGAACTTTGGTCGCACGAGCAGTTAATTAAGTGAGAGAATCATATTATTAGTTCAAAATATGTTGTCAGATGTTGCAATTTTACTATTCAAAGTTTTACTTCACAAGTCGAACTAGATTAGGGGTCTAACCAATTCATGATTCTGCATCTAATCAATGTTGTTTTACGTTGCAGTATACTTTCTCAACATTTCGATCAATATTTTTTGAAGAATTTGTCTCGTTCCTATTTTTCCTAAAGGATTCGGAAATAATAGTTTTTCCCTTTGTCCATCTCTAACATCAATCATAAACAACAATTTGATACGGGAATCATTCGCGATAACTGGCTGTATTGTCTGCTCGCTTCACTTTGACATGCTTATGATAGAACCTTGAGAGAAAACAAGTGGAGATTATAAGATCCGTGCTCTTTCTCACTTCTCTCTTACAACACTAAAAATTCTCTTGCACATGCTATCAAGTACTCTTAATTGACACTTTTAGTGGGGACAGCCTGCAATGCATACATCTTGCAACGGTGATCACATTAATGTGGCACAAATCATTATTAATGCATCTTGTCATCAGATTCTATGATAAAACTGCTGCTAAAACTCAATAGAAAAGTTTTATAGGGAAATTTTCCCATCATGCGACTAATTTCTTCGATGCTTCGTTTTAGTTCTCAGTGTCGGTGTCGGCCTTGCAGGGTGCTTCTATTTCTAATACAAATTCAACCAACTTGCAAAAAGTGTTTAGATCTCATATCAATCTTTGACCTGTTGGGGATTCGAAACAATCAAATCGAATCCGTACCCTTCCGGATCTTATATTTAAAAGTTAAGCAATAAAGAAATTCACCACAAATCAAAGATAAAAAACTTGTAGGAAATAAGAACAAAAAACAACACACGGATTTAACGAGTTTCGGCAACGTGCCTACGTCCTTGGGAGTCACACCACACAATTCCTTTGATTAATTGAAAAAGGAATACAAACACTCAAACTAGGGTTTAATCTCTCTGAGATTCTCTCTCAAAAGCTCTCCTTTTCTTGTCTTCTAACTTTTTTTTTCACGTTCTAATTAGCCCTAGAAACATATAGGTATATGTTTGGTGGGAAAATTCGAAGAAGACAATTGACAATTGAATTTGTTTTATTCTCTCTAACAGACATAGAAAAAGAAATTACTTACAATTCTCTCGATACAAATTCTCTCTAATAAACTTAGGAAAAAATATTACAATCTTCTTATATCGGAATCCCGATTTACAAAAGAAAAGAAGATCAACGGAGATCCTCCCATTTGTTTAAAACTAGGTTCTTCACAGTAGTGATGAGATGCCTCCCTCGGATGCTCGCGTTGAGTTTGCTTCTTGTTGACGATCCGAACGTCTGAACTCGTGGAACACGGTTGAATGCTCTTGATTGATGTCGAGGATAACTTACGTGGCAAGTTTGAAAATAACTCTTAACGAGTTTAAGAACTCAGAGCGAGTTTAAACTCTGTAACAAAGTTGATTTGAACCGAAAATCGGTTTTAAGCCAAGCACCAAACTCCAAGATTACTGAAGGACGCTCCAAGATGATATGCTCAAGAGATTGCCGATCTCTCCTTTTGCTATCTTTTTGATGCAAAATGCTGATCTTTTGATCTTTTTGCTGCCGAAAGAGGATGAATTGGTGATCCTCTTTGCTGATCTCTAGATTCGGAAATACTAAAAGATCAAAAGATCCGAACTAAGCCGATCTTTCAGCTATTTATAAGCGATTAGGGGGTGTAACCGCCCCTAAAATCACTTCTTTATGGGGTTTATGGAATGTAACCCCCCCTCCCCTCCTAAATCACTCCTTAGTGGAGTTGTGATCTCCTCGGATCGTGAAAAACGATTTTGGAACCGTTCGACCGAGTCAAACATAGTGATTTGTGTTTTGGGCCCGAACTCTGCGTCTTAGACCTGAAACACAGAGTTGGACATTTTCAGTAGGCTCAAAACGCAGTGGCCACACTGCTTTAAGAGCCTGAGACGCAGGAATGAACTCTGTGTTTGGATCTGGAAACACAGCAATGAAGACTGCGTTTGGATCTGGAACGCAGTGATGAACCCTGCGTTTTGGGCTGAAAATACAACAGTGAGCTCTGTGTTTGGATCTGGAACTCTGAGTTTTGACTCTGGAACGCAGAGGCGAGCCTCATGCGAGCTTGGCGAGCTTCAGGCATAGTCCAATGTTCAGGTGAAGTCTAATGTTCAGGCGAAGTCTAGTCTTACAGACGGACTTCAAAACATAACTTTGGTTTGAGAGATGTCTGTGTTTTGATTTGAAGAGACCGTCAATTTGTAGTCTCTTTTGCTAGAGAGTTGCAAAGAACGTCATTTTATACCCTTCGTCTTGGCTCTTTAAAAATATGAGAGTCGTCAGATTGTAACTCCCAATATTGATTGTGAAGGCTATTGAACTAGAGCTTTCATCGGTTGTGTGAAAGTCGTCAGATTGTAACGTTCATCGATCTACGTGAAAGTTTTTAAATTATAGTCTTCTGAAAGTCGTCAAATTATAACTTTCATTATCGGTATTTAATAAGGATCAACTATCTGTAGTGATTTTTAGACAGCCTATAGTATATATAAGAATCCTAGCCCAAACAGAATTCAAAACAGTTTACAAAATTGCCAGCTCGACTCACGGTCGATCACCGAACCAGTCGCAGTCGATCGGATAAACGACAGAAACCCAAAAAACTCCTACATGGTCTCACTGTCGACCGGACCATCTGCTGCGGTCGATCTGAAAAAGTCCAGAGACTTTTCCTATCTCGTGCACGTTCGCGATCGATCGCACCAACCGCCACAGTCGACCGTAGCTTGTCTTGACTATTTCCTTCGTCTTCCTGATTCCAACTTCGGCTTCAGCTTTGAGTGTGCACTTAGACTAATAATCTCCCACTTGGAGACCAAAGCGTTATTAACGAGCTCTCCTAATATCTCTCCTCCTTCGCAAGTATCTTCTCCTCCCCGGAAAAATCCTTTTTTCAATCATCATCATCTGGTGTTCTCGCCGACCATCTTAGTATGGCTCTGCCTTCATCTTCTACTCGTGAAG